TATATATATATATATATATATATATATATATATATATATATATATAGATATAACTATATAGTATGTCTCAGAGATCTCTGTCGGTTTGTGAATAAGCATAGAGAACTTTACGCAGTTGTACAGACTGCATAAGTAAGCGGCAGGAGTACGAAGAACTAAATGCAAAACCGGAGAAAATCAAGAAGTTAAATAGACCCTGAGGACTGGAGAGACTTACTTAACGTATGTTATACCTATATCTTATATTCTATATCTCAGTTTTAATGTTTGTTATACTCCAAGCACTTTACTATATATACGTATATGAGTATATGAATGTATATGCAATGTGCAAGTACCCTGCACAATCTCAGTTGACTTAACTTTAGCTGAACTCGACTCGCCCAGTTCTGAAGAAATCACACTATTACTACACCACACGGGGGATCTTTTTACCTTGCACACGTTTCTTCGACGGCTTTGATGATGATGATCGATACCGTATACAATTGTTTGTGAATTCCAAACAAGATGCTTACAGACGAATGCCAATGAGTTGTCGCGAGACTGATAATGATAATTCGTTAAAATAAGAATAAATCTCAAATCATCCTCATGAATTTTATATTTATACTTGCTTCTGAATCTTTATATGCTGGGATATTTTATGTGAGATTAAATTTTTGGTTGTATGATATCCTTCATCAACTTATTAGCAGCGATGTTATTTTTTTTATTTATTAAAAAACGTCTGAATATAAAAGAAGAATAGTTAGTATATCTGTACATATGTGCAAAGGAATGGATTTTGATAGCCTTGAAGACGTTCAAGCGCTACAAAAGAGTCAAATAAGTATTCAAATTTTACGAAATCAATTCCGGACTGTAAATTTGTATTAAATGGGGAATTTCACGCTGAATCGAATACTTTAAAAAATATACTTTTTGAAAAAACATGTTTTTTTTTTAATTTAATTTTATTTTCTTTATTGAAAAAAAAAAAAAAACAAACTCAACAGCTTGCGCCATTAACAGGGTTAATAGAATTATACATAAAGTAAATATAAATTTATATATTTACAAAGCTTAACAAGATGTCCTATAACTAGTATAATATTTAATATCGAATATAATATTTTAATATAATATTTAATATTCAATATGATATTTATGCGTAAAATTTAACGTTAAATAAGTAGCTTGGCGATACACTAGAGATCTTAGATAATTTAATAATATAGAAAAATATTGCACAGGTTCAAAACTGTTAGAAAGATCAGACTAGTCAGTTTCGTATATAGCAATTACTAGACTAGACTTATCAAATTTTTTTAAATATTATACCTACGACGAATTACATTCTCATCACATGTTTTATCCAGTTTTATGGACAATCTGAAATCAATAATCAAGGCAGGATGATAGGCATCAATGCTGACTAGTGTCTAGTCTGACCATTCCACATTACATATTATGTTAGATAGCACTAAGTCTAGATAATTATTTTGATAAATAGTTACAATATTATACTACTCAAATTTAAGTAAGTTATTAAAGCCATTTAAATGAAGATAAACAATTAGGAAATTTCGAATATTTTTTTTCAAAATACACATTTAAGAACAAAAATTTTAAAAAACGTGCCAATAAGTTGAATTTTGAAAAAACTATAGTTATTTAAAAGTAAGAAGCTATTTATTTACAAAATTCACAACTTTTTTTTGGTTGGATAAAACAATTTGAAAATATTCTGAAAAACGTTTTTTATAGGCTAGGCAAGGATAAAAAGCTTTTAATCAAATCGAATGTTCCATATCGACGCTCTAATTTTCAAATTGTCTAACTCCATTTTAGAGAATCTTCCATTTGTACGACAATACAATTAGTTCAAAAATTATTATCACTTTAAAGAACCATTTAATATTTAACAAAGGTATAATATTTTTGTTAGAAGCATTCAAATAATTTATAATTGGACTATTACTACATCAAAATGTTAAAAAATCACCCTCTAAAAAATAAGGAGTTAGATCAATTGCTAATTAGACCGTCGATATATTCTAAATATATTTTAAACTGTGGTAAAATTTTATTTATTAGTGTATCTAGTTTAATAATATTAATATTATAATTTAAAACATAAAAAAATGCTATTTTTTATAAAACTAAGTTGTGTATTGCATAATTAAACTTATCAAAACTCAAGAAAAAAAATCTACTAAGCTTCATGCTCGAAGGTCATTAAAGTGACGACGAGATTATTATGGCGTGTTCTTCAAAAGATGCGTATTAAATTATCTGGATGATTATCGCTGCGAGTGCGCAGTCATTTTGATTCTACTAAAGAAGAAAACAATAAAAAACTTTTTATTTCAATTAAATTGATTCAGAACTTTTTTCAATATCAATTTATCAAAGGAGAAAAATAAATAAATTGAATATAGCATATTAAATAAAAGAGACACGAGTCAAATATATCCGGATGCAATTGATTGCTATCGTTGCCGGAAGTAACTCATGTTTACGAGTTAGTTGTGTAGATTATTTGCGCGCGTGCATAAAGAAGAAACGATATAGATGGAAAAAAAAGAAAATTTTCATACATATATACATATAATGTAATATGTTATTATGCAAGTCACTGATACTCAATCGATGATCAACTTCATTTCAATTTCTCTCACCTCACTCTCACGCCCATTTACTTTGTTTATCTCTCATTTATTTACCTGTCTGGGTTGTAAATATACTTCGGTTATCATTTTAATTGCTTCAATTAATTTAACGTCTTATTGATTTATTTTGTAACATATACTATTTATAAATTAGATACATAAATACAGACGCAATAATGATTCTTTTTTTCTAAGAAATAAATTTATGTAAATACTATTATTACACAGAAAAAAAAAATTTATTTGAATGAAGAAAATAATTTTAAAAAGTTTCATTCTTGATTTTTTTTTTGATTAAATAAATTTTTCTTAATTCAATAATTTTTCGTCTTAATTTAAGACACTAAAACTCTTCAAAATAATTTTCTTTGAATTTATCTCATTGATTTTAGTTATAAAATATAAAAATGTTATTACAAAATTATAAATTTTTATTTGGCTAAATAGGAAAAGACCATAAGCAATATAAACGACATAAATAAACTAAAATAGTTAGATATGAATGAATAAAGTAAAATATCCAATGACAACCGGATTTAAAATGATTGCTATTACCAGTAAGTACTCACACTTTACTGTCTAGTGTCTAGTGCTACTTACTGTCAAATCATGAGTTCAATGTACTTAACAATTTAAATCCATAATCCTGGCAAATGTTAATTTACTATTTAAATCATACAAAATTTGCTTGAATTTATGATTTAAGACTTTCTTTTTTCCATGCAACTTTTACAATAAAGAGTATACAGAAAGAAAAATTTCTTGACTGGAGAACAAAATTCTTAGCTCAAGAAAATTTTCGGGTGCTTAAAGGAAGACTGAAGTTGTTTTGGCCGAAGTAAAAATTTTTTTTGAAATTCTATTCTTGGTGGGAATCATTTTTTCTTAATTCAAAATATCATAAATACTTGAAACAAAAAATTTTTATATTTAATCAAAATTTTTAGATACTTTGGAGAAGCAGCGCCACTTACTTTAGATGAGATAAAAATTTTTTCACTTCTCTTTTTCAAGAGAAAATTTTTCTCTTGAATATTTGATATCCATTTTATATTATTTTAACGTACAATTATACATATTGAATGAAAAAAAATGATTCAATATTATTATCTTCCCATTTGACATGTTAATCAATAAAAATAATAATGAAAATTTACTTCTATCGAGATATTTAATTTTTTGGAGTAAGAAAAATTTTCTCAAGACAAGAAAATTTACTTCTATCAAGAACTAAATTTTTTGGAGCAAGAGGCTGAATTTTCTCAAAACAACAAGATTTTCTTGATTTAAATACATTTTCTTAGTTTAAGATACGTATTTCTTAAAGCAAGAGAATTAATTTTGTTGGAATAAGTAAAATTTCTTGTGTCAAAAGAAATTTTTTTTTTCGCTCAAGAATATAATTAGGAAGAAAAATATTATTCTTGGGTCAAATGAACCTTTTTTTCTGTGTATAAATCTTCCAGATAATTTTCTGCTCTTGTTCCAAAAGTCTTTATTTATTTAATAAATAAAACTGATAATCTTAAAAAAAGAGTAAAATTTTGAAGACAGTATTTTTTTGAAACTTATTTTTATTGTAATCATTTGATTATCGACAACAATTTGAATTTTTTAATCGTAATAATAATCTTCACAAGAAGGGGAAAAATTACTGTTAACGATTACGTCTATTAGCTCAGTAGTCGGGTAATCAGCCATGACAATATATAATACAGTTCCATAATTACAGAAAAATTTTTGCATTCGCTGATTTATACCAGGTACCCTAAACCGCTCATTAATTATTGATTCATACGAATCGTGATTGGCTATTTCGTAAGGACCCAAGACACCACCATGGGCAGACAAATAATTGATATAACATAAATTTCTTATGACAGAATCAATGATAGCATATTGGAGATCTTTGATAGCCTTCCACTTTTCCGGTCGCTGGAAGCTAGAAGATAGTTCCCACTTATTCTGTTCTCTGCAAGGTAAATTCGTTGTACACTGCCGGAATCCGCGGTGAGATGACGCTAATAAAATTTTTCCTCGGTGTTTTTCGATAGTGTCTTCTACTGACCAATTTTGAACAAAAAGGTTTTCGCCACCATTCTGTAGAATATATTTGTTTAGCAAGATCTCACATTCGTTCATATTCGAGTTCTCTGCCACATACTCCTCTTGCATGAACATTATTACAAGCTCGTGTGGGTAGGATTCCAAAAAGTTTTTTACGTCGTTTATTATATTACCAAACCGTAATTTCAAGTATATTAGATCATGATGCATCGTAAAGACATTGTCAATTCGACGTACACGCATGTCAAATACGCGTATTCCCGCATGCAATTGTTCAGTTATTGTTAATGTTTGGGTTTGTGCTATTAGTAATGGAGATTTATATGTCGCAGAATCATGGGTACCAATCAATGCCAGAGTATTTAATTTCTGTGCTCCTGGAAGTCTACTAAAAAAATTTTTATGATTTTGAAAAGTTTGTCCAGAGTTACATGCCCCAGCGAAACCGCATAGTATTCCTAGGATCACAATTGGTAATGCCTCGAATTTTGTCTTCATTTTTGTATTAATCTGAAAATCATAATAAAACAAATATAAGAATAATACATCCAATCATGTTCTTCTAAGAAAAACCTTAATAACTAACAACAACTTCGTTTTTTTTAGAACTATTATAATTTTTAATTAAAAATTATTTTCTTTATCCAGAATAGCAAACAAGATATTTGCTTCAATGAACAGTTCTTAGTTTTAACATAACTTTTGAAACAAGTCGGAAATAGATTTAATTATCGTTAAGGTGTATTTTATAAGAGATTATAATCCGATAACTAAAAAACAGTTGACCCTAAAGACCATCTCTGCAACTTCCCGATAATCACATACTTAAGCGCTCAAAATTGCACTTATTATGTTTTTGAGCTCTCAAATTATAATTTTCATGTCATTTTGAGCTCTCCGAGCTCAAAGATCTGCTACACGGAAAAAAAAAATTTCTTGAACCAAGAAAATTATAAGGAAGACTCAAGTTATTTTGGAGCAAGAAGAAATTTTTTTGGCTTAAAAAAATTTAACTCCGTTCAAGAAATTTTAACTTTATTCAAGAAATTTTCAAGTCTTCCTTAAGATTTTCTTGATTTAAGAAAATTTACACTTGACTCAAGACTTTTTTTCTTTTTGTGTATATAGAAGTTTAAGAAAACACTATTTTTTGAATTTTCAAAGCGCAATAACTTCTGAATTAACGGATTTTTACGCGGTTGGCAACATTCGATGCAGTTTTTAAAGCCTCATAAAGAACCTTTAAGTTTGAATTAATTGAACTATAAATTTCGAAGTAATTCTAAAAAAACAATTTTTTCGTTAACTCACGAACGAATCAACCTATTTTGACCAAGCTGGCGTCGATTGAAGTGGTTTTTTGATGTTAAGAGCTGATATTAGTTTTTGGAATCGATCAGTAGCCGTTTAAGAGTTATTCCAAAAAAACCACATTTGAAAAAAATTTTTTTTGTAGTTTTTTTGAGATTTCTCAAAATCTACCCGTTCGAATCGGTTTAAATTGTATTTAAAAATCTAAGTTTGGTCAAACCCTTTCGAATGGGTACCAAAACGAAATTATTGTACAAAAATATCAACAGAAAAGACCAAAAGGTGTCTAATAGTCTATATTTCTAAATTTGAAATTGTATGAATAAATTAATTTATAAAATAATCAGCATACTACTTGATAAGCTCAAAAATAAATATAATTGTAATTTCCAGCTTTTTTTGAGCTAAAAAAAATGCGCAAAATTTCAGAGCTAGTTTGTTCAATACTATTTTTCAGTTTATTTTTTTTTAACATGAATGGTTTTTTGTTGGTTTCCAAAAATGGTAATGTATTTAGCTAATTTGTCACTCAAATTTGTTATGCTTTTTTTTTATTATTTTGTATTTTTTGGGGTTCATTCGTATTCGGTGATGTAAAGCGCAAAAGAAAGAGCCAGATATCGTAGCTAGTGCACGTGGTGTTATTATATTTTTCCTGCCGCAAAACCAGATGCCTTTTGGCGTTACTTCTGGTTTCGTATTCCGGCCAATGTTGCCGCGAGACTCATGAATTATTTTTGGAATACACATATATATATATATATATATATATATATAAATAAATATATGTATGTTATTAATGTGTAGAGAAAATGCGTAGGGAGTTATTTATTAAAGAATTACAGAATAAGTTTCAATTTACCAAATTTTTATTTAACAACGTTATAAATAAATGAGATTTATTTTACTCGTTAAAATTATAAATTTAAAAAAATTCTTTACTATTATGATATCTTCTCTAAAAAATATCAAGATAAATTGTATACGGATAAACATATACACGATTAACTAACTCTATTACGTCAAAAAAATTGAGAATAAAATAAATTTATTTACTACAAATATAAATAATCCAAAATATATAAAAATAATACATTGCTTCAAGCAATGTACGCTTGTTTATTATACTTTTATCTTTAAACTAGTATGCTATTTGTACTATTTTAAGGTACTGTCGATTCTGCAGACGAGAGTCGTGTGTATATCGGTGAAATGAATTTTATAAGAATAGAATTGAAATTATGCAATACTAAAATTTTGTATTTTTTAAAATCTTTTGTAATGGCCTAGAACCAAACAATCAAATCATATATAATGAAATTAAAAGTAAGTAGAATCCCTGTAGATTGAAAAAAAATGGCATTCAGCAGTCAAAATTCATGAAGATTTTTTAATGTTATCAAAAACTTATAAGATTTTAAAAACAAATGCAATAATAAAATTTGATTTAATAAATATTTACATAGGTCATTTTTAGCCTACGGAAATGTGTATAGTAGGAACTTTTAGATTCAGTTTACATAAATTTTATTTGTCGAATTCAATAGTTTTTTCAGGGAAAATCAGTGGAAGTGAATTTTTGATATTTTGAAAATTTTAGATTGCTGTAATTTTTTAAGTAACTAGAAATTTAAATAGCGCGCTACGCGCGTGCCTTAAATTTAGCCAATAATGAATCAGCCCGTTTTTTGCGAGTTTTGACTTATGGCTAACTTCAAAACTTTTATTATCTATTTTAATTTAGAGGATCGCCCAATCGGGCTCATCTTTGAACTTGACCTCGAAAATCGTCCAAAGTGTAAATATGTTGAATTTCAATCAATTTCATGAAGTATATTCTATGTGTATTTTCGGAATTAGCTTGATGAGTTGATTCAGAAAATAGCAAAATTTTCCAGAAAATGTATTATAAAAAATTCAGAAATGATTGTCTATACACAGAAAAAAAGGTTCACTTGAGCCAAAAAAATATTTGTCTTCCTAACTATTTTCTTGAGCGAAAAAGAAAAATTTTTTTTGACACAAGAAATTTCACTTATTCCAACAAAATTAATTCTCTTGCTTTAAGAAATACGTATTTTGATCCAAGAAAATTTATTTATGTCAAGAAAATCTTGTTGTTTTGAGAAAATTCAGCCTCTTGCTCCAAAAAATTTAGTTCTTACCCGGGGAAAACGGTTTAGATCTGACCAGATATAATTATATCTGGTCAGATCTAATTATATCTGGTCAGATCTATTTATATCTGATCAGACATGGGATTGGAGACATAATCAGATCTAGTTATATCTGATCAGATATAAACAGATATAACTATATCTGAGTTAAAAAATTCATCAGACATGATCAGATCTAGTCATATCTGATCAGATATAAACAGATATAACTATATCTGAGTTGAAAAATACATCAGACATAATCAGATCTAGTCATATCTGATCAGATATAAACAGATATAACTATATCTGAGTTGAAAAATACATCAGACATAAT